CAAAATTCCTTTGCAGCCGGTTACTTTAAAATCTTTAAAGTGAACTCAACTTTTTATTTTTTACAGTGTGGAAACCCTCGACTTTCTCCAAACCAGTTAGATTTTTAAAAAGATACAGTATTCTGAAGAATGTTCCAAACTGGTTTGCGTTTGAAAAAAAGATATTCAGAGGAATGTTGGAAAACTGTAACAATTGACATTTACACCGGAAATACAAATGGAAGTCAATGGTAACAGGTTTTCAACAGTCTTCAGTTTATCTTCTTTTGTGTTCAATAGAACTAAAGAAAGTGCTTTAGAACAAGTCCAGTGTGAGTAAATGATGACAGATTTTTTTTTAATTCTCGAATGAACTAACCCTGTAATAACTAATCTCTTTTTTATTCTAATACTTTTATATATTTCCAAGTCTTCCATTTTCCCACAACACACATACCTGTATTGAACAACATTTTAACACAGTACATAATTTACACTCCATAAAGAAAGAGGGAGAAAAAATAGTAAATAAAAAAATTTAATAAATAAATAAAAAATAAAAACAATAATAAATAAACAAACAAACAAATAAATAAATAAATACATGCATGCATGCATACATACATACATACATACATACATACATACATACATACATACATACATACATACATGCATACATAAATAAATAAGGAAATTGAGGATAAACTTTCACTTAGGATATAGTAACCCCTAAGCATTCACTGTAGCATAGAAGCCTAGCATAAAACTTTTGTGTAGAGCCCCGGATGGTGCATTTAAGGTCCTCGCGTTTAAGATATGATAACACTTCTAATATCCAGTGTTTCGTGGGATGATGGGTTTGATCCAACTGAGACAGATCAGGCGTCTGGCCAATAATGAAGAGAAAGCAATGATTTCTACATGATAAGCTGATAGGTGCATTTCTTCTGGCACTGCACCAAAAATTGAAGTCAAAGGATCATGATCCATATCTTTGTTACATATAGATGAAAATGTTCAACAACCGTTCTCTAAAAGAGTCCGTGCAAAAAATGGTTGTTCTGTGGTATCACTGTGGGATATTTTTTTTAACTCACTGAACAAACCTGATTGGCAAAAGATGATTTGTCTGGATAGGTGGAAGCACTAGAGAGATGGTTGTGATTGTTTGAGTAAACAGATGTTTATCTTTGTTATTATCTTTTTCTATCCTGCAGGATCAGACCTGAGGCCGTTCCCAGTGTCACTGGTGGGCTGAGGGTTAAAGATGAAACTCTCTGGAATCTCTGTCAGGACGTTTTACACCTTCCTATGCTGAAGAGCCTCAGGATGCCAGCATGACATGCACTGACATGTGTGTGCTCATCCACAGATGATGCAAGGTAACACTTACCACATTAATGCTGGCAATTAAATCAAGAAGAGAAAAAACTATCTGAAATCCTTAAGAAATCTAGAGATAGGGGCGGCACGGTGGATCAGTGGTTAGCACTGTTGCCTCACAGCAAGAAGGCCGCTACTTCGAGTCTCAGCTGGGTCAGTTGGCATTTCTGTGTGGAGTTTGCATGTTCTCCCTGTGTTGGTGTGGGTGCTCTGGTTTCTCTCACAGTCCAAACACATGCGCTATAGGTGAATTGAATAAGCTAAATTGGCTGTTGTGTATGAGCATGAATGTGAGAGTGTATGGGTGTTTCCCAGTGATGGGTTGCAGCTGGAAGGCTGTGTAAAACATATGCTGGATAAGTTGGTGGTTCATTCCGCTGTGGAGACCCCTGATGAATCAAGGGACTAAGCTGAAGGAAAGTGAAAGAGATCATGCAGAATGTGTACTTTAGTACTAATAAACAGCCTTAATAATGTTAATGATTGGCAGGTAATAAACTAAAGTGTCACGGCATTTTCTGCTTTTAGATCTTGTCTTTCTGGTAACGCTCTGGCTTTGACCCGCCTGGTCTCTTTAGCACCTTTCCGTCTACAACTTGAGCCCGTTTGAGGGGCCGGTTGTCTAGATGACAGCACATTTACATATTTAAAGGGTGAATGGAGACTTGACAATGCAGATTGTCAGGAGACAAGCTTTGCTTTCATTCTCTCCAAAGCATCCATGACCCAACAGGTTTATGCACAAAAGATGAAAGAGGGCTAAGTGATGGAGGTCTAAAACCCGTTCTGACACTTGTTGCAAAACAGTCAGCTCTTTGGCCTGGTCTTGCTTGGTATTCGGAGAAAAGCAATAAAGGTCACTTTAACCCTGTGGTGCTCTTTGGTCATTTTTCAATGGAATTCTTTCTTTTTTTTAACTTCATCTGAATGGCAGGGAACTTAAAAGGTTAAATGGAACTGAAGACAATAATACACCCGTGTTCTTTGCAATCATAAACTACCCGATTGGAAACAAATGGGAGAATAATTTAAGTAAAGTAAAGAACTTTTATTGTCATTGTAGTTATACAACGAAATTTGTTTGGTAACTCACAGAGACCAGCAGCAATATAAAAAGAGAGAAAAACAAACAGAATCTGGCAGAAATGTTAAGAAATGTAGGTAATCACACGCATATATTTTGTAAATGTTTGAAGATACTTGCATTTTGGCAAGGGGTAAAGATTGAGATAATGATGCAGTTAGATTTACCTTTTACTTTCTTGGTTGAAGAGATACCTCAGGATTTATATAATAATAACCAGAGATATATATTAGGGATGTCCCGATCAGGTTTTTTTAGCCTCAAGTCTGAGTCATTTGATTTTGAGTGTGTACCGATACCGAAACCCGATCCGATATTTCTATAATACATTAAAAAAGAATAAAGAAAAGCGAAGAAACAGATCCAGGATGCTCCTTATTTTTTTATTTAATTCACCTTATTTTAAAATGTTAAATCTCTATTAACAAACCGAGCACTTCTGTGAGGTAGCTTGAACAGTCAAGTAAGAAATAACACAAATTCTTCACTTTTGGACTTTAGTGCAACAATAAATATAAAAAAATTAAATATAAAAATAGCACTTCAACTTAAAATACCCAGCAGGCAATCCTAAGTTTACATATCTCACAGTTTGCTGTAGCAGTGTTGTCGTCATCAACTTTATAATACCTCCAGACCACAGACATACTCATGCTTCCATGTTCTACTTTGCCAGCATTTAACCAATGATGTCTTTTCAACAAAGTAATGTCATGCTGCATGCGTTGCTGTTTCTGTGTGAATTTAAGAGATCTAACTCTGTGCCACAGCCTAACTATAGATGTGCTAAAAATAATAAGAATATATAATATACATATATACATATATATTTGAGTCCTGATTGGGAGGTAACATCTGATTTAGATTGAGTCTGAAACCGTGTGATTGTGCTCGATTTCCAATTACATGATCAGATCTGGGCATCCCTGATATGTATACTACATATACTTTTACTAAGTGCAAAAAAAACAACAATAAATTGGATGAAGCTGCACCCTCCAACAATAGCACAGTGGATAGAATTTGATATATAGCATAGAATATATGACTGCGTAATTTCAAATGAAATTGGATATTGGAAAACAAAAGATGGGCACTTGTTACTATGTATCTGAACATGGCAACAGGACACATGATGTATGTGTCTTTTTGTATTTGTTTTTATTTCCTGGTAGGGTTTATTAATCGTTGCTGTCATATAATGTTTAGTTCGGTAAAATGTTTTCATTTTCAGAAAAAAAAAAAAAATTAATGTTAAGGAATGAACCTCAAATTTGAAACAATGTTTAAATTAATATATATTACAAATAGTTTTTTATAAAGTATTTTTGCGTTATTCCTTTATTTAATAAAAATAAATATATATATATATATATATATATATATATATATATATATATTAGGATTTTGATATTTTAGGGTGGTCTGCGTGTAAAATGGCTAACAACTATGGTTTAGAATTGATATTTGAACTTTATTATCTCTCTAATGTCTATTTTTTTTAATAACTTTTCAATTAATTTTGTATAATATAGAACTCTAACAATGCAGAAAAAAGGGAAAATATTAACAGAAAATATCAAATTTCTAACTTATATTCAATTAATCTTTATTTCTATAGCGCTTTTTGCACTGTAGATTGTCAAAGTAGCTTAACATAGAGGTTTTAGTAAACTAAAACAGTGTCAGTTCAGTTTTCAGTGCTGAAGTTCAGTTTAGTTCAGTGGGTATAAAACATAAAAATGTGATTAATTCTTTTGATGCAAAGCTGAATTATCAGCATCATTTCTCCAAGCTTCAGTTTTACATGACACATCGATTTACTGAGGAAACATGTCTTATTATAATGGATGAAAACAATGCTGCCATTGTTGGTTAACAGTGTTTTAAACTGAGGCAGCATTCTTTGTTTCATGAAATTATTCATGCAGCAGTGCTACTCTTCAAGTGCCAACTAGGGCAGTGAGTCAAACATTTATCCAGCATTTTTGAATACTAGTTTAGGATTTAACTTTCAAATATTCACGCACTAAACTGCACATGCAAATAGTCTATTGAGAAATTACAGAATCTCAGCCAGAGAGCTTTGACGGTTGTCTTGAGAAATACATTGTTTTAGCCATTACACTGAGATATTTGATTTACTATGAAGTTTAGTAGTTTACATGGGGCGAGTCTTGTGAAGATTTAGGAGTTTATGACCCTCCTGCATTTTAGTGTTTTATTGACCCTCAGCAATCAGACACTTTCGACTTCAAGCAAATGTCAGTCAGCAGGCGCTCACCTTCACCTGAATGCCATCAACATTCCTGCTGCGCTTTAAAAGCCTTTGCATTGTGCAACTGTGTGTGAGAAAGTCACCTGTAAAGAAACCACACCTTGACTGTTGAAATGTTTGAGTTTTAGCAAGGTGCTCGTGAAAAGATTCAAACACAACCTGAGATCTTGCTCATTTTTTTATTACTTTTATAACAAAGTGCAGTTGAAAAATGAACAAACTTTTTTTCTTCAAAAAAAAAAAAAAAAAAAAAAACAACAAAAAACCTGCAAATTGAACCAAGAAAAAGACTAAATAATTTATTATACATAATTAACAAGAGATATTTACAGAAAAAAAAACTTAGGAAACTATATACACTTTGCCATTATGAAGGCAATAAAATAGCCAGGCTATTTCCTGGCAGAGGTAGATAAACAAAGAAATGGGAGGGAACATACAATAACTGACAAATTGTAAAAGACACATGGAGTCCAAAACAGTGTATGAACTCTTCAACTCCAAACCTGAAATTCTTACATAGTTCCAGTTTGAACATCAACATTAAATGCAAACCTTCTCTATAAAAAACGTCATCATATGCTAATGATACATTCAACCCCTTATTTCTAACATCCTTTGGATCCAGCCCAAAACATTACAAGAAATAACATGAATGCCAAGAACAACAAGGTAGAACGTGTGTGTGGACTTTAAGGCTAACTATGCATTAAACTGATTATTCGTCCAACATACAGTATATGAAACGCTTTCATAATAGTAAGACTCATGAACTAAATGACTTTACGCAAGTCAAAACACTGAGAACGTTTCCTGCATTGATCATGCACGTTTGCTAAACGAAAAAAACCTCCACAATCTCTTCAAGAGATGCTGCTGCGCTCTTTACAATCAGTCACATGTGTTTCAGTCCTCAAACCAGCCGAGCACTCGACTACTATCAAGTGGCTAAAGTTTAGTCCCGGGTGCTCAATGTCTCTTCAGCTGTTCAAGTCTGGCTTTCAGCTGTTCCTGTCGCTCTCGGAGTTTGTCTCTTTTGCTGGTCAGTCTCTGGTTTTCTGATTCTAGATTTCTGATGCTTTCTTTCGCACGCTTTAAAATCACCACTTTGGACGCCTTGTCGTTGTTGGACAGTTCAGGGACGTTGTCCCGCAGCCTTAGAAAGCAGTTCTTTAACTCGTTGCGCCTTTGCCTCTCCATCACATTGTGCGTCCTCCTCCTCTCCTCTTCATCCTCTGTATCAACCGGCTGTCGGACGACCAGACTGCGAGAGCGTCCAGGGATCTGCAGACCTCGCTGGGAGTCTCCAGAGCCCCGAGTGCGCTTGAGAGGCGGTGAGGGCGGGGGCGGAGGAGAGGCAGGTCGCGGGGCAGCGTAATTGTGCTGCTGCTGGATTTCAAAGTGATAGCGCTTGAGTGCACGCTGCTGCTCCCGCCGGCTGTCCTCCAGCTGCTGCTGGTGCTGAGAGCGTGTCAGGGTGCTGGAGCGCCGCACCGTCACCACATCAATCTCCTCCTCTGTAGAGCACAACAACCGTTACAAGCTGAGCTTTACACTATTATTAGTGCTAAACACACAAATATCAGTGAAGAAGTTATATATCACAATCTAAAATCAATTCATTTAAATACATCTATTTTTTTCCATGTTAAAGTGTGTTATGCTTTTTTTAAGGTATGATAGGCTTAAGATCAACAGATAACTTTAACACCCAGCACTGATAAGCACTGTAAAGGTAGCAAAAGACTCACCAGAATCGCTAGTGGATGACTCTCCTCCTGTGGACAGTGAACCGTAGTCAGACGTGGATTCGATCTGCTCCTGGCTGTCCAGCGGGGAGTCTTCGCTCTCCAGTGCCTGGCAGGCGAGCGCCGCGGTGTGGCAGTCCAGCGTAGAGCCGGCGATCTCCGCGAAAATCTGCGTGTCTATGTCGGAGAGCAGGGGGCTCGTGGAGAGCACCGCGGATAGTTTATCCTCTGTCTGTTTGTCCCCGTCGGGGCGCCACAGGCAGTCCTCTGATAGCGGATCATCTGCTGAAGAAGCGGGCCCGGTAAAGTTCCAGTCCAGTTGGAGAAAGTCTGTGTCCTCCATTAAAAGTTCAGATACTAACTCCAGCTGGTCCACCGTGGACATGTTCTTTGCGAGGCCGGGTTTCATGGGAGGAGACTGAGGCGGTGTGGGGATGCACTGCAGGTCCTTCATGAGGCTCATACAGAACTCATCGTCAAACAGCAACGGCTCGGAGTCGCAGAACCAGTCGTGCGATGGAGAACACGCCTGCAGCATCTTGACGGAACCTGTTAGAAAAACGCACGAGAAAAGAATCCTTTAAAATGAGAGATAACGCGCATCCAAAAGTAAAAGTCCTCCAGTTTTAAGCGGTCGGGTTTTTTCTAACTGGCCTGCTGTCTGTTGTTGTCGAGCACTGCCGATTGTAAAGTTTCGCGGCTCGCGAGTTGCTTTTATTCTTGTTTACAATGTTTGCCCCGCCCCACGGGCGGAGTCGGGCTCGTCAGAGTAGTGATGTCATTAACAGCTGGAAAGGTCCCGCACGAGACTCTTCGCCCTTTTCAAATTCCTCACATTTGAAAAAGTGAATCATGTCTAAACTTTAAGAAAACTAATAAACAAATTCGATTCAAGGAAATATTTAATCTAGAAATTTACAATATATAAGTATATATAATGCTTTCTAGGGTTTTTACTAGAAATATATTTTATACTTCTAATAAGAACTCAACAGACATTTTCTATATTCTCATTGCAGTGATCCAAGTATTTTATTATAATACTAATGTCCAAGTTTTCCACAAAAATAGCTTGAAAATGCATTAAAACAGAAGTTCAAAAATGCACAAACTACCAAAAACTCAATTGCTTAAACACATTATTGTATAAATAATGAATAAAAAGCTAACCAATGCGCGTATGCGTGATTAAATAGATGACCAGTCACAATGTGCATTAAAATTCCGCATTAATTGTTAAAAACACCGGATGAAAACTCGCACAACTTCCTCAAAAAGCTGCATTAACACAAGTTCGAAGTGAATTTCTCTAATTCCTTCACAAGTAAAGCACTTCATGCACAGATATGCGAGAGATTCACGTTGCACGATCCTGGGGAGGAAGAAGCCGGTAGACAGACAGAACACATACAGGAAAGCCCAAAAGTCGCGCCCTTACCTTTTTCAACACTGTGGTGATAAAAGTAGACGGAAAACGTCGGCGAATCTAAATCAACCGTTCGTAAAATTATCTATAAAATCGCTGAAAGTCCGCAGATCCTCCTTGCGGCATGTCAGAGCCCACGCGGACAGAGGCTGGCAGTGGGTGTGGCAACGGTTGGAGACCATTTAATTTTAAAGGGCGACGCACAGCCTTGACTCTTCCGCTCAGAAAACTCGCGCCAAAACTCATTTGACAAATCTTGAATGAAAACCTTTGGTGTTATTATGCCTAATAATAGCCCGTAGCTCGATGTGCGATAAAATCCTGCACGGAAAAGTGGTGCAACAGCCGACGCGGAATGAGGCGAGTATAGATCCGCACTAGAGAATCGGCGGAGCGCTCGTGCACTCAATGAACCGCACAATTCCAAGAAAAAGAAGGAGGGTAGTAGCTCACACACGTGCGCCACTTCACAAATGCCGGCTCCGCTATGCGATTACCATAGTGGTGTCTATAAAAAAATAGAACGAAAGCACGTGACATTGCACTGTGGTCTGTTTTGGCGGGTAATATGTACACGAGCTGAAGGACATACTGTTCTCAAACAGGCACTCCTTATATACACAGATATCGCGCGACGCGAGGGGATAGAAATGTAAATTTAAGAAGCATATTAGAGCGATATAGGCGTGGGTTACGTAACAAAAGAATAGCATCCGGCTGAACACGTGCAGGGTAAACCCCTTTCTCTCAGGTGGCGGGGATGATTTATGAGTCTCCCGCAAACTCGACATATGGGAGGAATCCTGCATTCTTGACGACCGCTGAGCTCAGACTGCCTGCAACAAAGAGACAAATAGTTCCCATACACGTTATTTATAATGCAACTTCAATATGTGTCGTGGCGTTTTCATGCTCTCATATTACATTTGATGATATTTAGAGTGGGATGTTGGAGATGAATAGAGTAAAACGTTAATTAGTTTTTACTTTACTTCCATAGTTGATTAAATATTTTTAGGATTGCAAACTCGTTCTCAAATGTAGTTTACGTATGAAAATATGCTGAAATAAAGATTAATGACAAAAATAATTTTGATAAAATGTTTTTTTTTATCAGTGTGTGTCTTTAGATTACAATCAATAGACATTCATTCATTAATTTTCTTTTTGGCTCAGTCCCTTTATTAATCCGGGGTCGCCACAGCGGAATGAACCACCACAGTCAATATATTTAAAGTATAATAAAAAGCATTAAAAGTGGATTTTGAATGTTTCTTTCAGATTTTCAGGTTATTTATTTATATTATGCTGAAGTGAAAAAGCTTAAAATCTCTAATGTGACAAATGGATGAACAAAAGATGTTTTTGCCTTCAGTGTCTCCAAAACATAATATTTTATACATACTTCAATACAAATGATTATGCATTTTATTAATATATGCTTACACTTATATGTTCATATGTTGTTAAACTGAAATACACTATTTTTTTTATTGTAAATGCACAAAGGATTTGGGAAATGGCCATTGTGCTGGAATGGGCTGAACTGCATGTAATCGGAATGTCCTGTAGATGTTGCCCTCTAGAGGCCTCTGAATGAGGTTTAGTATCAAAGACCCAGTGAACTCCAGACAGCATTACGACACACTGCTCCGTTTGCTTCCTTTCTCAGCAGCTGCTCCTCTATAACTCTGTCCAGTGCACAGCCATGCTGATTCTGGAGCCTGCCTTTTACACATTTTATTGCGCACTTTGACATTTTTTAAACTGATCTTCATTTTTTTTAATGAAAAAAAATTATATATATATATATATATATATATATATATATATATATATATATATATATATATATATATATATATATATATATATATATAATTTGACGAGCAGGGTGGCCACAGTTGAGTTCAGTAAAAAAAATGTTTAGTAAAATAATAATCAAAGATGTAACATTATAAATATTTTAATCATGTTAAATGCAAGTACTGGGTCTTAAATAGTTCAAATAACTTGCGAAAACCAAATTCCAGAGAGGAATAATTGAAATGATGTTTCTTTTACTTTAAAAAAATGCTGGTCCTACTTTATATTAAGTGGCCTTAACCACTATGTACTTGCATCAAAAAATAAATGCAATGTATTGCAGAACACTTCTGGTGCTCTTGGGGTGGGCTACAGGTAGGGTTAGGGTTTGGTGGTATGGGTAGGTTTAAGGGAGGGTTAAGAGTGCAATTAAATATGTAATTACAGAAATTGTTTACAGTTCTTTACATGCTGGTATTTAATCAATCATAAGTACAATGTAAAACATGTATTTTACACAATAAGTAAACTGTAACAAATGATTAGTTACAGCTTAAGTACATATTAGTTAAGGCTACTCAATATATAATGTGGGACCAAAATGCTGTATTCCACACAATTCCTTCATGTTGTCCCAACACAAATCGATTAAGTTAGCTTAATTATTATTTATATTTACAAAAAAACTCAATAATTGTGCTGATTCAGCTTTTTTCAAATAAGTGCAGACATCTTTTTGAGCAGGTATTTCTGCTAAAGTCTACTTATAATAAAATAGGGATCATTTGCTAAATTGTATTGTACATGTAAAATGATTATGAATTGTCAAATAGTTAAAATCTAGTACAGTTGAAGGATTGATTCAAATAATAAAGATTTTAAAAGATTTTTAATTGGTATTTATGTGCACTCAAAAAATGAGTTGTGCTGCTTGTTCAAAATACTTATTTAACATGAATTAAAACAACACAGTCCTTAAGTTTGTCTTGCAGACAACTGAATTGTTTTATGTTCAATCCACTTAAATTTGTAAAAACGTTTATGTTAACTGAAACGATTTGTGTTGGGACAACATAAAGGAATTGTGTGGAACCCTGCATTTTTACAGTGTTTTTTTATTATTTTTTAAATAATTATTGCTTTATACATTAAATGTGCCTAACAAGATTTGCTAACACTTTATTTTAAGGTGTCCTTTTTACACATGTACTTACAATAAACACTGTAAAAAGGCAGTGCTGCACACAATTTATTCATGTTGTCCAGACATAAGTGGATTCAACATAAAATATTTAATTTGCTCAAAAAATTTCAATAATTGCGTTGTTTCAGTTTATTTTGAAAAAGTACTTTAACATACAGCAAAAATCTTTTTTGAGTGTATAGCAATTACAGCTAATTAAACATAACCCCATGCAACTAACCCTCACCCTCACCCTAACCATATTAAGTACATGTAATCAATTAATATACTAGTTAAATGGTAACACTTTACAATAAGTTTCATTAGTTAATGCATTTACTAACATGAACTAGTCATGAACAACACATGTACAGCAGTTATTAATCATAATTGAACATGCATTAATGCATTATTAACATCCAAACTCATGTTTGTTAATATAAGTTAATGCACCGTGAGTTAACATGAACTAACAATGAACTACTGTATTTTCATTAACTAACGTTAAATAACATGAACAAATACTGTAGTAAATGTATCGTTCATTGTTTGTTCATGTTAGTAAATGCATTAAGTAACATTAACTAATAAACCTTACTGTAAAGTGTGACCAGTTAAATGAATAGTTTAAAGTTTCAAAAGCACCTTAAATTAAAGTGTAACCCACAATTTGTTTTTCCCATTGACCTTATTTTTCATGGACGTGTGGACGCAGACATTGGGATCTTTTTGGCTCTAGACTTCTTCATTCACTTCCATTGATTTTTAGATGTTCAAAACAGCTCGTTGTGCTGCTTGATGTTGAAAAAGGATATTTCCTTGTTATATTATTTTACCTTAATGTAAAGTCATGAACAAACTTGTTTGTAGAGCAAGTAGTTTGACTGTTTTCTGCTGTTTATTATTTCTATAGACATTTCTCCTATAGGCAATCTGAAGTTCTAAAACAAGCACAAAACTAAAGCACACTTCAACATCGCAGAATAAGCTCAATATAATGTGTTTTTACAATAGAAATAACCACTAAATAAGGTTATTCATTCATTTTCTTTTCGGCTTCTTCCCTTTAATAATCTGGGGTCGCCACAGCGGAATGAACCGCCAACTTATCCAGCACATGTTTTATGCAGCGGATGCCCTTCGAGCTGCAACCCATCACTGGGAAACATCCATATACACTCATACACTACAGTTAATTTTAGCATACCCAATTCACCTGTAAATGTCTTTGGACTGTGGGGGAAACCGGAGCACCCAGAGGAAACTCACGCAAACACGGGGAGAACATGCAAACTCCACACAGAAATGACCCAGTCGAGGCTCAAACCAGCGACTTGCTGTGCCTTCGTGCTTCCCTTAATGATGTATAAGAATATATAATAGTTGTTATATTTTGAACAAAAAAAAAGGTTTATCCGGACACTATCCAAAATAAAAACGAGAATAGGCCTCAGAGAAAGTTTTGTTAGATGCTTTGTGTTGTCAGTGTGTGCTGGTTAAACTCCACAGGAGGCTTCTTGATGTCGGAGTGTGTTTAAATGTCTTGCATCACTCATTCGCGTTGCTTCAAGCGATCTCTAAAATCGCTGCCATATGCCGTCCAGCTTCGTGGAACTTGAATGACTTGAGTTTACTTGACAAAGCATGCTATTGTGTGAAAGACTGCATCATCAGCACCGCTTACAGAAATCTTGCAACTTTTACTCGCTTCTAATGAGTTTTTTGCGCTTATCAGGGCTGAAGAACACATTGAAATAGACTTATAAAGATGAGCATAAGCATAAAGCGTGCAAAGAGCATTTTCACACACTGTACTCTCAAGGAAACTGTGATCAATGTGCAGATTGAAACTGTTAAAAGCAGGAGACCATTTATTATGCTTGAAACTTGTTGAAATTGTTATATTAGAAGTGCATAAAGCAAAAACTAGTGCACCTTATAGAATTTTAAGAAAAATAAGTAGCAAGTAGGGGCTACAATGAACCATCATGACAAATATACATATGGAATTCATTAATTCATTCATTTCCTTTTTCAGCTTAGTCCCTTTATTAATCCGGGGTCGCCACAGCGAAATGAACCGCCAACTTATCCAGCAGGTTTTTACACAGCCGATGCCCTTCCAGCCGCAACCCATCTCTGGGAAACATCCA